TATAATATATATATATATATATATATATATATATATATAATATATAATAGATAGATAGATAGATAGAATAGATAGATAGATATGTATGTATATATATATAATATATTATATATATATAATATAATATATATATATATATATATATATATATATTATATACATCTTCCTGACTAAAAAAAAAAAAAAAAAAAATAATAACAGTTTTTCCTCCCCAAATCAAACAGATAAACGTGCTTTAGCCAGAGCTGACCCACGAGCCAGCAGTCCCCGTTCCACATCATTCTCCACCTATTTTAATACACTAAGCCCATTACATCGACAACACAAGAGGAAAGCATATTAACACGCATTATGCCGGTGGATTTCTGAAGCCCCGTATTAGAGCAATGGAAATACAGTGTTTTATATTCTGATTGTTATCATTCGAGCTTTTGTTTATTTCTTCATTGAATTTTACACATTTTCCACCTTCTATTGATGTATATATATATATATATATATATATATATTATAATATATATAATATATTATATTATTATATATATAATATATATATATATATATATATATATATATATATATATATTATATATATATATATATTATAATATATATATATAATATTATATATATATATATATATATATATATATATATATATATATATATATATATATATATATATTAATATATATAATATATATAATATATATATATATATATATAATATATATATATATATATATATATATATTTATATATGCTAGCGCTTTTGAAAATTCCAGTAAGGAGGCGGAGAAAAAGAAATGATTTTGAGGACTAGTGTTGACACAAACATTTTTTATTCCTTCATTAATCTTCAAACGTTTCGAGCTTACAATACCCATATTCAGGGTATTGTAATATAGTGTAGGAGGATTCAGAATATTATCCTTCAGTTTAATTATACATACATACAACATTAGTTACGGATTTAGTTATATATCACAGACAGTTCATGATTAAACTAAGGATTATACAAAATGTTAGTACAGCAAATCTAAGAGAATTTGATAACACAGAGAAACTGCGTTGAATTTGCAAAATCGATGTATGTGTGTGTATAATATATTTATATATAATATATATATATATATATATATATATATATATATATTATATATAGTATGTATGTATCTATATATATATGTATGTATGTATGTATGATCTATATATATCTATATATATCTATATATATGTCTATATCTATATCTATATCTATCTATATATATATATATATATGTATGTATATATCTATCTATATTTTATCTATGTATCATATATATATATATATATATATAATAATTAATATATATATATATATATATATATATATATATATATATATATATATATATATATATATATATATATATATATATATATATATATATATATATATATATATATATATATATATATATATATATATATATATATATATATATATAATATATACATATATATGCATATATGCATGCTACTTGGAGGCCCCCACATGAGAGTAAACAGTAGCATATATTTTCATCCTTTTTTCAGTATTTTGAGATGTTTTATGAGTGACAGCAATAAAGTTGCCTTCGTGAACACCTTTTCTATACGCTTTCTGAAGAGGGGGGGGGCGGACCCGAAAAGTGTACGTTTTGTACACTTGTGAAAATGTTGAAAACTAGGAACCAACCCTAAAGGGATGCATAGAATATAAGAGCAATGGAGACAAGAAAATTATGACAAAAGACCATCAAAATCACAATAATCATTTTCCTCTCAATTTCAATATAATCCACTGTAATGAAAGACACATACTTACCGTAAGAGAAAACTTAATAAAGGGAAACAAGTGAATGTAGTAGCATACGATATTTACAAGGATAATTGATATTAAATGGCTTATTAATGAGATAAAAATCCAAGCGTAATTGGTGCAAAAATTGGCAGGTCAAAACAGTACATTTTATTTACATAACGTATTTGAACAATTAAGATATATGTTGAATATCTAAAGGCGCTAATATATGGATTATAATGTAAGAACACAAGATACAAGACATAGAAACGAAGGTAAATATTCGATGTTTTATATATTTATTTCCTACGCAACAGGTGGGGATAAAGATGAATTAATGATATAATGAAAAAGAAACAAACGGCTTTTTTCTTCCAATCGTTATATTGTAAAGATATTATATAAGGTTCTTTCTATACAGATACTCAAGATTATTCACAGGATGTGTAGACAAGCTAATCAAAGACGCACACACACACACACACACACACACACACACACACAACACACACACACACACACACACACACACACACACACACACACACACACACACACACACACAACAACAACAACAACAACAATAACAAAAAAACAAACTAAAAAAGTTAAAAGAGAATGAGATTAATTAACATCCACTCTTTTCCACTCTGATTAGCATCCCTCGGTGAAAAT